GGAGTGAATATGAAAAACTCATAGCTTAGCCAGACACGCAGTTTGGATATATAAATATGGTGTGTCTATGAAAAAGAATAATTGATCATGAAAAACTCATGGTTTGGCCAGCTCACAACTTGGCCGGGATGGGCATGGTGTTAAAATAAGAAAAATTTATTGAACATGAAAATGTAGTCCTTGGCCAACATACGACTTGACTAGATAGACATGGCATTTTCATTAGAAAAAATTGAGTATGAAAAAATCATGACCCCCCTAACATTCAACTAAGCTAGATGAAAATGACCTTGCCATAAAAAAAAAAATACAAAATTGAGCATGAAATGCTCATGGCATGGCCAACATATAGCTTGGCTAAATGGACATAGCGTTATTATAAACAAACAAAAAATGAGCATGAAAAGCTCATGACTTGGCCAATTGGACTTGGCATTTTCATTAGAAAGAAGGATTGAGCATGAATAGCTCATGACCTAGTCAATGCATATTTTGACTATATGGATATGACGTAAACATTAAAAAAAGTTGAGCATGAAAACATCATAGTTTGGCTAGCATGCAAATTAGGCAAACAATCATGGCATTGCCATTAGAAAAATGAGGTGAATATGAAAAGCTCATGATTTGGCCAGCACTGTTAGATGGACATGACGTTGCCATAAAAAAAAAAAAAAAAGAACTGAGCATGAAAAGCTCATGTCGAGCAAACACATAGCTTCGTCAAATAGACACAACATTCCCATAAAAAAGAAGACTAAGCATAAAAAATTCATAGCTTGGCCGATGCCCATAACTTGATCAAATATACATGGCATTACTATCATAAAGAAGAAATGAACATGAAAAGCATATAGTTTGGCCAACACACAACATTGCTTGATAGACATGGCATTTCCATAAAAAAAAAAAAATTAAGCACGAAAAATTCAAAGATTGGCCAATACACAAGTCAACCAACTATGTGACAATCATATGTCTTTTAGCTAAAGTTTCATGGTTTGTTTTCTTTGTTTAGGACAGATTGTGTGTTTCTTTTTAAATTTTAAGAGTATATCACTCATATACCTTTGTATCCATTCCTAAAATGTGCCAAGTTCATAGAATTTTCTTTTAAGTCATAAGAAGATAGAAATATAGCAAAAAAATAAATTTTCATATGTTCACTTTATTAGCATAAAGCACTCAAGGATTACAAGAGTCGAGAGTGAGCTCATTATGTATGGTATTGGTTTGATATTAAAAATTGATTAGTATAGTGTAACGATCTATCAATTTAGCAACGAAGCATATCTATTATCATAGCCATTCCCTCTTCTACTCTTGTCACCCTTACAAGTTCTCTCATTCCTTCTATAGGTGCTCTTTTTCTTATGGTTAGTCTTGGTAACCACTAGCTTAATAAAAATTTCATTAGGTTTATTAGCCTTAAGCTCTCTATTAGTTGCATATTCATAAAAAAAAAAAAAAAAAAAAAAAAAAAAAAACAATGCCTTAACAAAACAAGACTTATGGCATTCAAAAAAGTGCTTTAATGAATGGGATAAAAATGTTGATTCCTTTCCAATATCCTTTCATACACTATGGCTTAGAGGATAAGATCAAATCATACTTAAGAAGGAAAGGCCCCCCAATTAGTAAGTGATATGATACAAGTGCATTAATGACATAAAAGCATGTTCGGTGTCGTATAGTTTCCACTTGAAAATCCTTTGCAATACCGCTTCAAGTTTGCAAAGAAGTGTTGACAAGGGTCTTGATAGTAGTTTATTTTTAATTCACATATCTCCTGTCAACGTATAAACCTCTCAAAGTAGTAAGTGGTATGAGATTCAAAGAGAAAGCCTTATCTATGAAGGTCCTAGGAATAAAGCAACCATTCAACTTACTCTTCATATGGAGTGGACAATTATGGTTAATCTTTTTCTACATGGTAATCAACATTAGTAAAGAGCATATTGTTTTTATAGTTCTTTGCCATATTTTCATTGGATTATCGATAGCAAAAAACTCATTATATTTTTCTTTGAATATTTGGACAATGGTTGTTGTAGTCGCTTGCTTGACTTCCTCATCAAAATCCCGGAGATTAACAAAATTATAAAAAAATTTGAGTTTTCAACAAAGACTTGACAATTAAGGAATCAATGTCATTAAACTTTTTCATATAGGGTGTGGTGTGATTAAGAGTAACCTAGTAGACTCACATGCCAAAGTCCTCTTCTATCAACTCGGTTGGGTCATAAGCAATAACATTCACTTGACCGTGGCAAGGATTCTAGTATTTTCACAAGCGATTTTCTTACACATCATCCTTATTGCTAAGAAAAATCTCCCTCTTGATGAGCTTGTCATAGAATAAGAACCTTAGGTTGTCGGTCATAATGTGAAAACTCGATTGTACGACATATATGGTAGGGACCTAAGCGATGGTTTAAGGCAAGCCACCTTTTAGAGGCATTAAGAAGTTAGGAGGATATAAGTATATTATCGCTCTCGGTATTGAGATGACTAGTGTTATCAACATTATTATTAGGATTAGACATGGTCTTGTCAACATCGTGTACAATTGAATTGGTTGCGGCATTAACATTCTTCGAAGAGGACTTGGAAGGAGCTATTGCTCTTTCACAATCACTAAGTTTCTAGAGGAATCACAAAAATATGTGAAGGGTTCTTAAAAACTTATCAAACAATTAGCTAACGACTGGTTGAAATGTAGAGAGCTATTGTTGTGACTTAATAGTAGCAATCAACCTATCATGTAGAATGGATATAAGTAGTGAGAGGTATGGGAAGAAGATCAAACAATGCTAGCAAGATACAAGTCAAGAGTGACAGATGAGTGAGGGCTTAAAGTCTAAATGTATGGATTTTTAGAATTTGTGATGTGAGAGTGAGAGAGTTTTGAGAGAGAACAAGTAAAAGTATGCTAAAGACGCATAAATTGGAAATATCGCCTTGCAATGGATGTAAAATTGATATTTATAGTGAAATAAAGATGATTCTAAACTATTAGAATCGTATCACGTCATTCATGTTACAATCAAATTTGAGTTAAAGAAACCTTGATTTTTCTAGGCTAAACTATTTCAACTTGCTAGCAAAAGTTAAAATAAGTATCAATTTGTCATTTTTGTTAACCAATCCCGCTTTAAAATTACGAAGTCAATCTCTCTAATGCATCTCAAAGACAAAACATAGACGTTGATCTTGTCAAAATACTCGTATTTATCTTTAAGCGATCCAAAACCTTGTACTAGACGAAACTCGTTCTTAGTCCAATTCATTTATTATTTAGTTTGAACTCATCCCAAAATCAAGAAAAATAATATAGATTAACACATGATAAAATTAGCTAAATTACTTAATTAATTTTAAAGAAAAATAAAGCATATATAATGTGTTTTATAATGCTTGGACTTCATCTTTTGATGGAAAAAAGAAAAGAAAAGAAAAGAAAAGAAAAGTGTAGTATTAGGGACATCTTCTCTGTGCTTTTTCGTGATGTAGGGTTTGTAGAGTGGAAACTGGGAAGGCAACATTTTTTTCTTTTTTGTTTTTTTTCCTACTCTCCTATGTGGATTGAAAGCTACTTTGCAGCTGCACTACCAAACACGAAAGATCTTAATAATGAAGAAATTGTTGCAGTTGCACAGCAAAACCGGGTACATCATCGCTTTTCTTTTCTTTTTTTCGTGAATTTTAAAAAATACTCGATTATCTATGAGCATATATGATGATTATGCCCATGTTGATATTACATGCTAATTCGCTCAACCAAAAGGAGCCCTACGCCTCATCTCATGAGATAAGGGAAGCCCCCGTCCGAGTCCCCACTCTCCACCACTATGTGAGGCAGCTCCACTATTCCCCTCCCAGTCCCGCAGCAAAGCAGGCTGCTAGTACCAACCACATTGACATCAAAATAAACTCGTCATGCACAACTTGAATGTAGTGACAGATCAATGCAAATAAATACAGCTCTTTACCGATTAAAGAGTATGCAGAAAGCATGATTAAAAAAATCAGGCCGCCTTTCGCTCTAGACCATTTCACTCCTTGTAGATGCAATAAAGAAGAAAAAAGATACCACGCATTCAGTCGTCACTGCAACATATTCAACCCCCTGCTGTGCTAGCTGATCTATGGATTAATGCTAGACATTGTAAAAGATGTCAATCCACTAACCAAAACATTCTGAACGTCAAGCATAACGCCCATTTGATCAAGAATAAATGGCTTGGACACTACATAAGTCAAGACTTCAACCCCCAGCTCCTCCTCTTTGCTCCAAAAAATGGACCAACCAGGGGAAAGCGTTCTGTGAACTAAAAATGCCATATGCTTCATTATTTTCATAACTCCAAAACCAATCCATGCTTTTAGGCTATCATAATTCCATAGTTCAGCCAATTTGCCTGGTTATCATCATACTAGAATAATCAGAATTTACTTCCCATAAACATTAAGTTATTATTTTGAACTGACAGTTAACAATATCGCAGTCCTCTTATATGAATGTAGGCCAAATCATTCTTCCTAGCCCCAGTCACAATAACAGAAACCTCAAATTAACAATCGACAAACCATAATTCCCTTCTGTGGAGCTATAGTAAGAAACAATTAATCTACAGGTCCAATAAAACCTCCGTCTAAAAAACTAGCTCGGGAAAAAAGCCTTGAATGTGAACAATAAAAAAAAATAAAAAATAAAAAAATAAATAAATAAATTCAAAGAGGAAAAACTAAATGAAAGACCGAAGCAAATCATTGAACGCTAATTAAAACAAAAGGAAATTCCCAACATTACAATGCAGTAAGAACAACAACCTTATACACTCACCCAAAATCCATAATAAACTGGTAATCCCATTATCCTCACAGAGAGAAACAACTAATTGCAACAACAATATCTACATTTTTGACAACCTTACAGCTCAAAAAAAAAAAAAAAAAAAAGAAAAAAAAATCAAATGCATAAGGAAACAAATTACCCATCAAAGACGATGGCCAGCAGAAGCAGCTCTTTCTGCCACTTTCCTCCGCTCATAATCTGCATCATCTGTTGGCAACTCATACCGACAAACAGGACAAGTATTCCTAATCCCCAGCCATGGCACAATGCATTCACCATGATAACGGTGCATGCAAGGCAACTGCTTCGCTCTCTCCCTGACATTTATATCATCCTTGCAAACCGCACAAAGAGCATTATTACTATGCACATCCTCTTTTGCCAAAACCACAGATGGAAGTTTCTCAACAACAGACTTTGCTGCCGGAGGCCGACCCATCATTGCATTCTCATTCTCTGCAAATTGCCCAAACAATGTCTCATACTCTGCTGTGTAAATATAATCATCATGACCACCTAAATAAGGTTCAGAATTATGATCGTGGTCCAAGTTGTTGGCATTCAATAAAACCTGCCACTCCAAATTATCCAATCCTCCAACTCTCTCCACATTGACCATATCCTCAGGAGCAATAAGAGGTGAAATGGAAAGCGAAACGGATGCCTCCTCATCATCAATAAACATACTTAGAACCTCCCTCTCATCAGCACGACCATCCACTTCCTCCCACTCAAAATCCTCATTGTTTTCCCTATGATCCTCCAACTGAAGTGAGTCCCAACAAAGCGGAATTGTAACACTCACATCGTCATCGTCATAGTCAGCACAATCACCAAAACTCCCGTTCCCTATATTCACATCCAAACCATACTCATCCCCAGAATTTAAATCAATAGCTAAAGAATTCTGATTATCCTCGGAATCTGAATCGGACCCGAACCCAACAACTCGGATTGCATTGGCATGTATACTCCCAGTAGACTCAGCCTCACATGATTCAACTCCAGAAACCCTTCTCTCAATAAAGAAATCATCATCATCAACAATAATATTACTATCGTTATAAACAACATCGTTCTCGTTATCGTTATAATTAGCGTCTATATTTTGAAACCCAGAATTATCTTGACTATCTAAACCAAACCCTAATCCCAAATCAAGCTCTAAATTATATTCAGAATTCTCATCAATAACACCAAAACCCGAATCGTTAAGCGAATCGGAGATCAAATGGGAACAAACAACATCATCATCATCAACCTCATGACAAAGCAGTTGAGACTCCTCTACACGTTGTTGAAACAAATCCATAACGAAACTAACCTGGTTCTCACGGTCTAAGAGATCGGGGCCGTTAAGGATAACGGATTCAGGATCTGAAACGACGTCGTCTTCTTGGCGGCCCAGAGAGTGGATGCTGAGACGGGTGGGTTCGGGTTGATGAAGGAAGGGGTCGTCGTTGAGAGAGGATAAGAGAGGGAAACAAGGGTCTACGGTTAGGGTTTGGTCGTCGGCGTAGGCGTAGGCGTTGGCGTTGGTGTCGGAGTTGCAGTGACTGAAGGAGATATTTGCCATTTATTTATTTGATTGATTGGAAAATGAAATAAAACTGCTTTGGCGATCTTGTCTTTCTGTTCATTCAGAATGAAGCAAATGTCAGGTGTGGGAAAAAACAGATGGTGGTGAATGGTTTGGTTTGCGGTGGTGGGGTATTGACTGAGTTAACTATAGCTTAGTTTCAATAGTTTATTGAAATTAATAAATTAGTTCCTATTGTTTTAGAAATAATTAAATAGTCCTTTGAATAATTAATCTGCATGATCATCCTCAATTTAATTCGTTAAAACATAATAATAATAATAATAATAATAATTTTTAAAAAAATTAAGTAGTCCTTTAACACTAATCATATGGAGAAACAAATCTGGAAGGGAATTTCCCTCTATTTCCTTTTTTTTTTTTTAAGAAAACGTAAAATGCAATTTAAAAATAACCTAACCTAATAACTTAACAGTTATTTTCTTCTATAACCTAAAAAAAATTTGCAATTTATATTTTTTAAACAAAAAAAAAAAAAAAACACAAAGAAATATAGGGAAATTTTCATTTTTCTTGAAAACAATCAAAATCGAAACCACAATTTATATTAGTCATCGCATCTTAATTTTGTATTTGTGGTAGTGTAACTAAAAAATATTATTTTTATTTCATTCAAATTAAATTTATCATGAAAAAAATGATACTTATTAACTTAAAAGAAGATAAATATTTATATTAGATTTATCATAAAAATTTATGACATCAACCAAATATGAAAATATAAAAAGAAAATAATTTTAATGTTTTACATTACCGAAAGTACATTTTATATTGTTTTTAAAGAAAAAATGAGGGAAATTTGAAAGGAAATTGGACTTTAAAATATAATTTGATAGATTAATAAGATATGAGTTTCATCATCATGAACACCACAATCAACAATTATATAGAATAAAAGACATAAATTCGTCATACTCATAAATCTTAGAACTTTATGATTTTCATATAATTTAAAAGAAAATATACCTTAATTCATGTTTACACCTTGATTCATGCTTAAACCTTGAATGGTTTCTCTTTTTTGATCTTTTACTTAATGATAGAAATTGAAAACTTTAGTTTTTCTTTTGTTCCGTAATTTTCATTAAGAGCTAAAGAGAGGACCAACTCCTCCTTTTTATAATCTTAACCCAATTCTTCCATCAAGACTTGTATATGTATTATTATTAATTATATGTATCATAATTGATTAGATACACTTTAGTTATACATGTATTATCATTAATTATATGTATCTTATTTAATTAGATACATATTAAATATAATGCACAATATGGTTCACATTCAATTATATATTTTAGAAACATGCATCATTCTAGATACATTTATCATGTAGGCCATAATTAATTTTACATTCACCCACTTAGACCATATGACATTTACTTTACAATTTAACATAATGTGCAAAATTGATGATCATCATTATAATGTTATATCATTATTAAATTAAAATATTAATGCGGGTCATGGCGATTGTATGTCATTTCATCAACATAGTCTCTTCCATACACCACAACACTAAGTTTCAACTTAACATGATCTTTAATGAGGATAATGATGGTCCAACTTTAATGTCTTTATTGTAAGACTACATTATTCTAAAGCAATTATGTATACAAAATAGAAAATAAGAAATATCATAAACATACAAGGAAGCTTAGAGTGTCGGATACATAAGCTTAATAAGAACTTAATACAATATCAATAATGACGTCTAATAATGCCTATCCTTTCAACATGCTCAAGAAATGTTTTGGGCACCAATCCTTTAGTTAAAAGATCCGCAATCATAAGATTGGTGCTAATATGCTCAATTGACACTCTTTGTTTCTATATTTCTTCTTTAATGGTAAAGTATTTGATTTTCATATGTTTAGTACCTTAAAATACTTATCGTTTTTAGGGAAGAAAACTATTGTAGAGTTATCACGGTAAATTTTCAATGGCTTGGCAATAATGTAGACGACTCCAAGTCTTGAAATAAAGTTCTAGAACCATAATCCATGAATGGTGGCCTCAAAGCATGCCACAAACTCGGCTTCCATAGTGGATGCGACAATGGTAGATTGTTTTGCACTCTTTCATGAAATTGCTTCTCTAGATAATAGGAACAAGTAACCAAATGTGGATTTTCTTAAATTAACACATCCAAGAAAATCTGAATTTGAATATTCAATCGCCTCAAGACAATCAAATATTTTATAAATGAGTATGTGATCCTTTGTTTCTTGCAAGTATAAAAAATTTTCTTTATAGCTTTCTAATAATCTATACTAGGATTACTTTGATATTTGCCCAACATTCCAACAAAGAAACCGATGTCTAGCCTAATATAAGTTTGGGCATACATTAAACTTCCAACAAGAGATGTAAAAGGAATAATTTTTCATTTGCTTTTATTCTAATTCATTTTTTGGACATTGCATAAGGTTAAATTATCTCCCTTCCGAATTGGAACTATCCCTACTAAACATTTATCCATTTTAAATCTCTCTAAAATTTTATTAATATAGGCTTTCCGAGACAATCCTAACAATCCTTGTGATCTATCATGAAATATTTCTATTCTAATCACAAAGTTCACCTCTCCTATATCTTTCATTTCAAAATTCCTATAGAGATACTTCTTGGTTTCATGTAACAAACCAAGTTCATCGATAATAAGCAAAATATCATGAACATACGTAACTAGAAAAAAAAAAACTTGTTTCCACTAATCTTCATAGATATACTCCAATCAATGGTGTTTTCTTAAAATGCAAAAGAAATGATAATATCATTAAGCTTAAGATACAACTGTTCGAAAGCTTGTTTAAGTTCATATATTGATTTCTTTAATTTACACACCATGTGTTCCTTTTACGTAATTGAAAAGCCTTAGGTTGGTCCCTATAAACTTCTCCTTCTAAATTTTCATTAAGAAAGACAGTTTTAACATCCATTTGGTGTATCTCTAAATCATAATGAGCCACCAAAGCCATGATTACTCTAAGATAATCTTTTTTGGAGACTGGTGAAAAAGTTTCTTTATAATCAATGCCATCTTTTTTAGTAAAACCTTTGACAATAAGTCTAGCTTTATATCGTTCAATATTGCCATTTGACTCATGTTTTATCTTAATGACCCATTTACATCCAATCTTTTTACATTTTTAGGCAATTTAACGAGATTCTAAACTTGATTTTGATCCATAGATTTTAACTCTTCTTCCATGACACTTATCTACTTAGTTGAAACTGGATCATTATCAATTCCAAAGTTAATTTTTGACCTTTATAGATAAACCATGTAGTTATTGGAAATGGCGAGATCTCTTTTCTCTTTGAGATCTTTTTAAAGCTATTTCTTGTGGCTTTACTATCACTAGTTCATTGTTGATGATTTCATTTTGGAGAATTTGATCTTTTATTTATTATTCTGGACCATTGTTGGATTGAACTATAATTTTAGAACAATAATTAGAGAAGCTTTAGGAATAGGAATTTCCACCCTAACTTCTTGTATATTAATATCACGCATTCTCTCACTCTCGCTAATGTCATCTTTTTTAATGAACCTAGCATTTTCATATTTGACATTTCTTGTACCATGATTAGGAAAACAAAATCTATACCCTTTGGATATTTTTGAATATCCAATAAAATAACCATTGGTTGTTCTAAATTCAAAATTCTTTTCATATGGATTATAAATTCTTACTTATGCTAGACAATCCCAATCATGTAAGTGCCTTAAACTAGGTTTCCTTTTAGTCTAAAGCTTAAAAGAAGTCTTTAGAACCGCTTTACTAGGAACCTTATTCAACAAGTACTTGGTACTCCTTAATGTATACATCCACAAAGATAAGGGTAAAGACGAATGACTCATAATAGTCCTAACCATTTCCATTAAAGTATGATTTCACCTTTCTGCTACACCATTTTGATGTGATGTACCTTCAATTGTGTATTGAGTACAAATGCCATTTCTTTCAAGAAATTTGACAAATGGACCTAGACATTGTCTTGATTCATCATACCTTCCATAATATTCACCATCTCTATATGACGTTACAATTTTTACTTTCTTATCTAATTGCCTATCAACCTCTTTAATATACACCTCCAGTGTATGAATTGATTGAGCTTTATCATGCAATAGATAAATATAACCATAACGTGAAAAAATTATCAATAAAGTTGATAAAATATTTCTCTCCACTAAAAGATGGAGCGTCAAAAGGTCCATATATATTAGTGTGTATAATCTCAAGAAGCTATGTACTTCTCGTGGCTCTTTTCTTGGTGTGTTTTATTTGTTTTCCTTTAATACAATCAATACACACTCCAAGATCGATAAAATCCAAATTTGGAAGAATTTCATTATTTATTATTCTTTTCTTCCTTTCTTTGGATATATGGCCCAAACGTTTATGCCACAAGTAATTAGAATTCTCATCAACTAAATTGCGTTTAGTACCAATATTCCGATGCAAGGTCATTAAGGTCTCAACAAAGACATTATCAAGTCTAAATTTGTAAAGACCATCACATAATATTCCGGAACCAATAAGATTATTATTCTTAAATAAACTAAAAGGTCCAAGTCGGACTTAAAACCAAATCTCGCTACATCAAGTTTTGATAAATAAACAAAATTATGAGAAAATATAGATAGATAAACGGTATGAAATAGATCTAAATGATATTCGGTATCTAAAATTAGATTATAAGTACCAATGCATTCAATCGGAACTTTGTTTCGATTCTCCAAGAGCAAAAAACATTCATTTGCCTTTATGGTTTGGATTGAAAGGAATCCCTACATTATATTAGAAATATGAGTAGTAGGACTAGAATCAATCCACCAAATCTTATGAGAAACTTCAGTAAAGTTTGATTTAAAACATGCTAAAGCATAATAATGCTTACCTTTCTTTTCAAACCAAGCTTTACATTTCATACGGTCTTTCTTTAAATGACCAACTTTATTATAA